CCCACTGCTGTTTTGGCCAGATAAAAATATACATGTTATCAGGTTCTCAGTAATATTTCAATTTGTGGGGGAGGGGGAGGGGGGGTTTAACGTTCTGAGAATTACACTTACACCACAAATACCTTTTTTCCAGGCTTAGGATTATTTTACAGTCAAACTCTCAAGGCTCTAGAGCAGTTGCGTAATCGGTTTAGAGGCCGCCATTGCTCTAAGAGACAATGTTGGAAACGTCTTCCTTACCTGAAGGTTCAACTCCTCAACAAAGGTCAATGGGAACTTTGCTTTTTGGTTCATCATCTTCACTGGCTTCATTTCATTCTTTAAAAAAAAAAAAAAAGAGGACAGATGAAGTGAAATGACTTTCTAGTGACGATGCAGTGGCATGAAATTAGCAAGGACTGTACCGTCTGTCCTGTGTCTACACTGTGTTTCCTGTGCTGGGTTATTTTATCAACCGTTTGGGTTTATTTGATGTTATTATCAAGCATGGGAATTCAAATGGCTAGTAAGTTCTGAAGGAATCGATATAGATGGTATTGCAGTACCTCTCTTTTTTGTTTGTTTCTAAGGTATGTGCTTTTAAAGAGCATAGTATACATCAAGGATGTCAAACATAAAGCCTGCGGGCCAAAACCGGCACGCTAGGTGGTTCGATCCGGCCCGCTTCACAACTTCACAAACACTCCATGTTCATGGTGTTCTGTAAAATTATATTTCATTAAATATAACTATTTCCTAACATACTTCTTTGCCTGTAAACGAAGGGGGAAAAACATGGACTTATTGTTATTTAGAAGTAATTGACATCTAATTAGGTCGGTATTTGCCCCGTGAATCAAAATAAGTTTGACACCCCGGTATACGTGGATCACTTTTAATAATTAAATATACATTTTTTTTCTAATAATTTGATCTAAAAATTGAACTTGTGCAGTGTTACCTTGTTGATTCTGAACTCATCATCTCTTGTAGCATCCTTTTCAAACTGCTTGTTCCAGTCGCCTTTAAAGTAGATGGCATTGACCAGCACCAGCCTGGTCAGGTTACTGACAGCACCCTCTGCCAGAATACCCTTGATTTTGCCTAAAGGGGTTCGAACACAACATTGAAAGGTCAGGGGACGTCATTGAATTGAAAATGAATATGAGACACCAACGAAACTCTCACCTTGGGTTTGGTCCTCGACCCAGGTGTTGATTCTGGTCCTGACCATCTCAAAGCTGCTTTTGAAGTCCACAGACTCCAGCGCAGCATTATAATATTTTTCGGTTTCTTTTAGATAATCCTGGAAACCATACAGAACACATCAGTTTGTGCTTCTCTTCTATCCCCGAGTCGCTCCATTATGAACACGGTGTTAAAACACACACCTGAACAAACTTGTAGGACTGTTCTCCATACAGTCGGTTGGCCACACTGAGAGCGTACGGAGCGTTTGCCTTGTTGAGCTCTTTCAGTAGTTGGTTGAATTTCTCGTGTATGTTCTCTTTGCTCTCATTTTTTGTCATAAACTAAAAAAAAATTTAAAAAAAAAAAAGAAGCTCTGAGACGGTGGCAATCCAGACGAGTTCTATGTAGGGTTTGAAACATGAAACTGTTTTTTATTTTTTGCACTTTATGCACGTGGTTGATTAGAGACTATTTTAACTGACTAACTGACTAACACTGTTCATAAGAAAATAAACTACCTTCTCCTCCGTGTTGTAAAATAGATGTCCGTCTTTCACGGTTCATTTTATCATCGGTGTATTTGTCTAAAACATTTAATTATTGAATTTAGCTAGTTTTAACAAAGTAGTTATTGAGCAATAGCTTTTGTCGTAAGTAGGTCAGAAATTATAGCTGGGGAAAAAAAACTAAAACAAACATGAAAAGAAGCCAAGATGACACTCCTGTTAATCAGTCAACATATTCTGGTTTGGTTTTGGCAGTCACGCCAATCACCAACTGCAGTTGAGACACTGCAGCGGCATAACCACGATAAAGTGGGTGTTTGATGATATGGCCCAAAACTTATGTTGGTAAAACACGCCACCTAGGTTGTATACCAGCTTGTCATGGATGCAAACATGCCCCGTCGGAAACGGA